AATAATAGCTATAACGGAAAAAGACGCGTTTTAATTCCTTAATTATTTCACATTTTAATTGTGAAACGCTCATTTTGATCATATATTAAATTAAATGGTGTGTATACTTTCCCCAAAATATTATCAAAACACCTTAATAAACGAATATTTATATAAAAACAGTTCAAAGATATTTAAAAATTACGCTACAATTACAGTTAAATATAGATATTAAAGTAAATATTAAAAATGAGGTAGAAGTAATGTTTGTATAATAAAGACCATGTATTGTATCTCTGTATAAAATAGACAGTAAATAACCCTACAAGCGACAGTCTTATAGTTTTCTAAAATCTAAATAATTAGGATATAATAATTATGTAAATGAGGTAGATAATTCCCAGTCAACAGTTACAAATTAAATGTCAACAAAAACATCAATTATCTATTAAACAAAAAAAAATATTCTATAAAATAAAACAATGTTGAATAATTAAGTACCTATGACACGAGTGTGTTTATGAAGAGAAGAAAAATAGAGGAAATTGTTAATTTAGCAGTCTATATATTGTTTGATGCCATAAAAGAGAATGGTTAACTATGAAGTAGAAAGTGATAAAACTTTAATCAAATTAGACAAGTAATGATACGGTGAGGCAATTATTGGAAATAATATTTATATTAAAGTGTAAAAAAATATTTTTTTGTTTTTTGTGTGATATTACGTTGCTTTTTTCAAATAATATCACTTCTGAGTAATTATGTTACTACTGTAAAAACATTTATCAAAAACACACTATTTTCGTTCAAAAATTCAAAAGCTGTCGCCACCTATGAGTAACACTTTAAATGGCTACAATTTCGAAAAGACACCCCTCGAATGTTAAGGGGTGTTGTGTTTTAAGTCAGTTATTACCTACTAGATAGCGCTCGGTGGTTGAGATGTAGGCGAAGTTTTTCCTTCATCCCTTCTCTGCTCAAGCGTCGATCCCGACGCAGTGCTTTCCGTCCTTTGTCTTTCTGTCCTGAAAGGACAGTCTGCGACCAGATGGTCCTCACTTTTACAGTTGTGACACCTTTTTGGTTGAGGTCCCAGAGAACATTTTGCGGCAATGTGATTTGCAAATTCACCGCAATTGTAGCATCTACAGAAAATGAAGAACTCTACTAACTCTATTAAATAAATACCACCTAATAGGTGGTGTTATAAGCGAATGATGAGGATAGCGTGGGTAGAAAAGGTTAGAAATGAAGAAGTATAAGAAAGAATAGGAGAACAGACGACTCTATGGTAGTCAATAAAAAATAGGCGAGATAGGTTGGTAGGACACCTTCTCAGGCATGAAGGTCTAGTCAGAAGCATATTAGAGGCAGAAACAGGAGTTAAGAGAAATAGAGGTAGACCTAGGTTAGATTACTGTTCGCAAATACTTAAGGATGTGGGCTGTTCTAGTTTTAGGGAAATGCGAAGTTTAGCTCAGGATAGGAAAGAGTGGAGGTACGTGTCCAACCAGTCTTAGGACTGACGACCCTATGATGATGATAATGATGAATAGGTAGGTACTTGAAGATTTAATTATGTAAAAAAGAGCCAAGAAGCTCCTCTAGAACATACGATTACGTAACTAATTTTAAGGAAATGAACATTTTCTTTCACTACTTAGAGTTTTCCAATATTACATTTGGAATATTCAATGTTTGACACTTATATATGTGAAAACATGATTCTGCACTGTCTCCCTCCCTTTTTGGACATCGGTGGTGCATAGGAAGGTTCAGTTTCCATTTAATTAATATAGGGAAAATTCCAATTTTTTATACATATAAATAAAAGTTTCTCGGTTTCTATTAGGTACCTTTTTCACCATTTAATATGAGTAATGCATGCAAAAAACAATTTATTAACTTAATAATTCACTTTTCTTGTAATAATAGGGAAATTTTTATAATGGAGAGACCCTATTAAAATTAGATTAGTAGATAAACCGATGTTCTAATTCAACGTTTCACTAGCGCAAGTGGCGAACTTCTTCAGAGTTCCTTGACACATCCAGCACAGGAGATAGGACCTCTTAAAAAGATCACCACTCCTGCTATCGATACGTTAAGAAGAAATTCGAACCAACGAAAGTCTTTAGAGCCGAATCAGAGCAGCATCAGTTCAAATCCTATTAACCTGTAAGTTAGCTTGATATAGCACACCCTAACGTGCACAAACGGATAAAATCTTATCATCAAGATAAATAAAGATATTTTTATTACAACTATTTATCAAATACTGCTTTATTATAAAGTTATATGTACAGTGGCGGCGTAGCGTGGATGGGAATCAGCTCCTTCCACTATTGTCACCCTTTAGTGCTTGGCACCCGGGGTGGACCGCTCCCACCTCTTCGTCGCCACTGTATTGTAGATACGTAACTAATAATAATAAAACTTGTGTACCTTCTGTTAATAATAATTGTTTATATTTTATCGTTTTAATGTGTAAAGATGTATCTGTTTACTATAAGTAATTGAACTATAGGTGTAGGTTTACCTCAAATAGATCGATCTACATAGCTATTAGCTCAATATGAATATTAAAAATAGATCTTAATAAGAGAGCAACAATTATTGTTGTTAATTATTTCTGAATAATAGCTATAACTTCGGGATACGCAAATAAAAAACTTTTATTAATTAAAAACTAGGGGGTGGTTGTTTAGGAGGTGCATTTACTTCGCTTTATTAACTCACCTAATTTTTCTAAATCGTTTTTTCGAAACTGGTCTCCTATGAGACCCTCTACATTCACTACCATTTACTCCTGTTACCCTGGTGGCTTCAAGCCCTTTATCCGAAACTTTACATTCGAAGTCTACCTCTTCGTCGTCACCGAGTGACCGAAAACCCTGCATTTGAATTACACTCTGAAAACAAAACAACACTTAAATTAAAATTACATTATTTAAACTTTCAACGGTGTATTCTAGATGAAACATTTTCAATAAAAAAGGAAAATAAAGGAAAAGATGTTTCAACAAAACTGTTTATTCTTCGACAATTGTTACCAATAGTAACTATTGTACTCTTGAAAATGACTTTTTAGAGGTCGAAACAATTGTAGAGGAATAAACAGTTTTGTTGAAGCATCTTTTCCTTTCTTTTCCTTTATTATTAAAATTACTACATTTACCCACGAAAGGTCTGTGACACATTATTATTATTATTATTATTACATGTTTAGGTACATGACAGATCGTATCTTATTTCTTAAAATTTTTGATCCACCTGTGATCGGCTTTCCACTTTTTGGAAACCTGTAGAATTCTTTGTGAAAATCACCCTTTCGTCACGTGTTTATAAATTTGTGTCTGTTTGAAAGTAAAACGGTTAAGTGTGACTACTATTCTCAAACGGGTCGCAATGTCCCACAACGAGTTTTAAACGAGCTTTTGTAAAAGCTCACATCATGAAACCGACGTTCACAACATAATGGACAGGTACTTAAACTAGAGGTAGTCATACAACCCTCATTTTAACTTACCCTCCGATTCCGTTTTTTTTACCAACAGGTACGACCACGATAGAGCAACAAGTATATTTTTAATATTCGTCATAGATTGTTCAGCATTTACTGGATACATTTATAAATTTACATTTCCTGAGCGTGGAATAAATTTCGATTTTGTTTCACACAAAACTACTAAACAGATTTTAATCAAATTTCTAAAACGCTTGATCTTTACCTTCATCAATAAAAATGATCTCGATATTTCTATTTAATATCATGTTAATAAAGTTCTCATAAAACTAGACTACACTGAGGAGATGGTAAGTGATACGTTGGTAGGTCGTTTCTACTTCTGCCTCATCGCAAAGTAAGTGATAATTTACTTGAGCGATCTAATACAGTAGAACCTTGATAACTTAAACCTCGATACCTTAATAATCTCTATAAATTCATAAAATTTTGTGTTCCCTTCCCCTCGGAGTCCAAAGCTTCTATTACTTAAAATAAAAACCCTCTGTAACTTAAACGAATAATTTGGGCATCGTACCCCAGTAAGCAGCGAAAAGTGGTTTGAATCGGGACAAAGTCTTCTATGTAAAAGACGAAGAATTGCTGAATTTCCTAATTTAGATAAATGCTTGTTTACATGGTTTAGACAGTGTAGAAATATGTAAAAACATTAGTGTTAGTGAAGCTATACTAAAGGAAAAAACTGAAGAGTTTGCTAAGTCACTGGAAATCCATAATTTTAAAGCTTAAACTTAAACCCTTAGTACCACAATAACTCAAATTATTTTACGTTTTCTTTGGTCTTTATCTTATCGAGGTTCTACAGTACTGTGCAACTATGCCTCGAAGTAAGGGATGTATTGTGACTGGGAAGATAACTTTGTCTTAGTATCCAATTTATATTTCAATTTTATCCTCTCGCTCTCTCCACGATCGTTTTTAAGAAAACTTTGTTAGTAGGAAATAGTACAGTCTCCGTTAGTAGACTTCACCTATCTTATGTACCTACCCCCAAGATAAGGGCGACGCATTTATCATAATACGTAGTTATAAGGGAGATTAAACAATTGCTTTTTACCTGATGCACAAAAACATCCTGACCCCCATCATCTGGGGTTATGAACCCCCAACCCTTCGCTACATTGAACCATTTACATTTACCCCTTCGAACGCCAAAACCAGAATCCGATCCTCCTTGACTAGCACTTCCGGCTTCTGAGCCTGAAAGAAAAACTCATGAATTAAATTCATTTGCTGAATATTAAGTAACTAACCCGAACAACAGTAGTCATACAACCGTATGTAATAAATAAATACAAATTAAAATATCGAATAAAGAAAAAAGTAAAAGTACGAAGTTCTTTAAAAATATATTTGAAATCATTGAGTATCGCAGGTAAAATAAGATAAGTAACTATTGCATCTTTAAAAATCAATAAAGGTAATGTTGAATTGAAGGAATCTATGTAAATTTTTATAGAATAAAATGTTGTTGCTCGAACGACGAAAGCCTTTAATATGATCGAAGGATGTAACATGTCAACATGAGAAGTAACGAAATTATTTTGTAACTAAAGCTTATGCTTTTAGAATTATTGTGGTATGGCTATGTTATGTTTTACGTATATAAAGGACCCTTAAAATGTGCATTATCCTTAAAAAAAAATATTAAGAAGCTGCTTGTAAATTGACGGATTAGTTTTGAAAAATAATCTACATACGTCAATTGTCATGTACATTTACCATAATTATAATAACAATAGAGTATTCCATAATGTTGCAGTTTTTAGAACCATCTGGAAGATATATCTCTTCTATTACGGAATTTTCCACTCCTGTACAATCTTAAAAAATACGAAATGCATCAAAGTAATTTTGTTTATACATACATCCACGCGGATTTCTTATCTTTAGGCACGTGTTCTACGTTCACACTCCACACTCCCGCTACTTTCTATCACACATTGACAAAAACATAAAATACTATAAAACCAATGTAGTGTATTTAGATACTTATGTAAGTACCGAATATATATCTACCTACAATAATATTCTAAAGTTTAAAAACGTACACAAATACATATCATCAAATTCAATCAGGAATTATGTTAAGACGTATTATGACAGTCATAAACTCATCCACTACTTAAGTAACTAAGCCCTTAATGCATACAATGTAACCCTAACATTTGTCAATAATTTTATATCATCATCATAAGGTCGTCAGTCCTAAGACTGGTTGGACACGTACCTCCACTCTTTCCTATCCTGAGCTAAACTTTGCATTTCCCTAAAACTAGAACAGCCCATATCCTTAACTATTTGCGAACAGTAATCTAATCTAGGTCTACCTCTACCCCTCCTAACTCCTGTTTCTGCCTCTAATATGTCTCTGACTAGACCTTTATGCCTGAGAAGGTGTCCTACCAAACTATCTCGCCTATTTTTTATTGACTTCCATAGAGTCCTCTGTT